ACCGAGCCCCGACAGGATTTTCCATTGCCCGTAGGCTGACTGATATGGGAAGCCCGGGCAAGGTGTTGCTAACCGGTTAACACACAAAGCTAACAAGGGATAGATGCAAACACTGAAAACCCCTGCGATGTGTACAATCATGGAGGCCTAGCAGAGGGCCACCAAACACTACCAGTGGAACTATAGCCACACTAGGCAGACCCCCACCAGGCAAACGAAAATAAAAACCAAAGTAAAAACCCCGCAAAAGTATACCGTTCCCACAGGCAAAAGGAACCAGTCGCTGTGTAGGTAGCAGGTCACGCAACACCTGGACACCCTAACCAGCACAATACCAGTCTCTACCCGAGGCCAAGCAAGGGCCCCAAGCCCCAGTCAGCCCCAAGGGCGAGGCAAATGCCGAGCACCAAGAACCTCTAATGGGAATGGTTCCCGAATGCCCCAGTGAAGATAACCCTGTCAAGCAGTGGCAGTACTCACAGGGTGCTTAGGGAAGGAAGCCCCTAAGCGCATGCAGCCCCGTTATTAATGAGGAACACCTGGCCACCGCACAACACAAAACATGGCAGCGAGTGCCACAAAGCTCCATACAGCTCCGATAAGCTCCAAGGAGCTGTAAGGGCTCCCCTCAGAAAACAGAGCAGTCCGCAAGCCGCAATGGCCTCCCGCACCTCATGAGGCGGGATGCAGAAAGCCAAAAACCTCTGGAAGGATGGGACCGAACCCGGGGAAGGGCTGACACCAAATCCAACTCGTACGCAGAAGGGGGAGGGGAGGGTGGGAAGGGAAGGGAACTATCAGGGGGAAAGCGCCAAGCCATTACGACTATATAGCCCTGGGAAGGGGTCAGGATAAGGATTTGGGATGGGACGGGGGAAAGGAGTGGTGCCCAACCACTTGTTGGGCACCATTGTTGGGCCCAACAATGGGCCCATGGGTTGGGCCCAATGGGTTGGGCGTGTCATGCAGGTCGGGGATTGAACGCCGACCTGCATGACGCGAGACCGTCGCTCTACCGACCAGCCAAAGTGGTTGGGCGGGGGTGGGGCGGGAGTGGGGGAACCCCACTCCCTGTAACAACAAGCCTTGCTCAGATGGTACAAAAACCCAAGCGGGGTCCAATGGGGCCCATGGCCCCCAAGTCAATTCCCCCCCCCCCCCCCCCAGGAACCCCCACATCAGGACACGGGGCCAAGTCATCCCTCACAGCCACGGCCTCAAAAGGATAAGCCGGAGCAGCCAGAAAAGCAGGAAGGAAGGAGGGGCCCACTGGCCAGACCCAAATGCTTTGACAGGAGGAACAGACTCGAATGCCTACGTCGCCACCCCGAAAGGGGGCATTCCCCGAGACCACCTGAGTCTCGAAACCAACTAAACCCTGCCCCGACTTCGAAACCCTCAGACATTTCAAAGCAGGAAGCAAGGGGGGGGGGGGGGAGCACCAAGATGAATCACAGCAGGGGAAGGACGAGGGGGCATGGACTGAACTAAAGTCAAAGCGACTAACACCCCAAGTCCAGGTCCCTATAACCAAAACAGGGCAGCCTCGGGGCTTCCGGGTCAGCAGCCAACCTAGCGCGCTGCAGCAACCTAAAACGAGTGTTCAACACCTAAGTTGCCTGCACCCGAATAGTCATCAATGGACTGGGTGTATTGAGTCACAAACAAGCAACAAAACTCGCAGAACTCTGGGACAAAGGTGTCACTGACCCAGCAGGTAGCATGACGGAGGCATAAACAGTGAGGGTAACCCGGAAACAAGGTGACTGTGCAACCCTCAGACTAGCACAAGGCAAGAGGGGACCCAGGGGGTTGCCCCAAGTGGGCCCCAAGTGCCCCTGCAGGGTTTCCTAGGGTCCTGAGATGGAACTCATGCTCAGGGAAGCCCAGGCAGGGTACTGTTAACCGGCGCCCAAAATTACCAACTAACTGCTAAAGCTGCTCCCCCAGGACGTGTACACTCCCAGGGGCCTAGCGGGGGACCACGAAGATACAAGCAGGTGAGACCAAAACCAAGGGGGCAGATCCCCCACCAGGCAAGAAAACAAAAACAAATGAAAAACCCTGCAAGAGGACAATGTACCCAGGTGGAACAGAGCTGGCCGCTATGAGAGGATACAACTAGCTGCACAGTATCCTGCGCCCCAATCAGTGACGAATACTACTCCCTATCCAGAGGCAAACAGGAATGAAGGAAACACCCCAGCTGACTCCAAGGGGGGTCAATCACCAACCAGCAAAAGACCTTACGGAGGTAGCCCCCAAGGTGACTTGGGGGCTACCTCCGTGGAAGATGGCCCCAAGCTCCAAGGGTAGTACTTACTGGGCACCTAGGGAAGGTGATCCTAGGCACATGCAGCCCGAGTACTGGTGAATATACTCCTGGCTCACACACCACCAAAGACAGCCTCACACCACAAGGCACATAACTGGAAATCTGGAGCCAGAGTCGATTGACCTTGCCAGCCTCACATCAGCCACAGAATTGCAAGGTGGATAGCCGGCACGGGGATCTGGGGTTCTTCTTTTCCTCTCCCGGGAAGGGGGGAGCTGCACAGACAGCGGCGCGGTGATATGGTGACGTCATGCTCGTTTGCCTGTTTTCATTTGGGGAGTTCTGTCCACTAGTTCAGTTTTCAGTAGCAATTTCTTAACACTTTCGCGCTCTCAGCGCTCAAAAAAAAAACAATACCCCAGATGCTTTCGGCACTTCGCGCGCCTACGCGGTAAGACCGAAAAAGTGTACACTCTTTTGACTGTCCTGACAATAATTGAAGGCGCACGTATTTAAATTTGGTATCACTGTGTTCGCAATGAAATTGTCTATAAGAGCATACCTATAAAATGCCGCCCAAGCATAAGGAGTATCAACACCAAATAAAAAACTATGCAGATCACTCGCCGAGAGCGCCAAACAGCAACAAAATGTTTCCACTCTCTTAATGGTTGCGAAGCCTACAGTTGTCCTACATCGCTAATTTTGGTATCATTAGAATCGCAATAAAATTCTCTACACGGACATATGCATATGAATGTTAAATATAGGTAATTGCCCACCCGCAAGAGTGTGTGAAGTGGAGAGTAGTTAGCCGCGAGCGCACTGGCGAAAACACAGGGGGGAAATCATGCTTGGAAAGTTTATACGTTTCCTGACCCTACTTTTCTATGTACGTATTTCTTTTTTATACCAATGTGTTCGCAATAAAATTTTCTATAAGATGAACTGTATAACATTTGTACAAAGCATGTGTAAGAGAAGCGCCAAATATAGAACCACGTCGCTCAGTATGCGTTCGCGGCAGAAACGAACGCATTGTTTTCGTTCGTTTGATGTTTGTCATGTTTATACTTGTTGAAACATTTTATAATTTGTATGACAGTGATCACAGTAAAATTCCCTACACAGACATATACATAACACATACAAATATTTCCTACGTGTTGGATATATCAACGGCTAAAGGGAACCCACTGCCACACGCTCGCCACACCCCCAAACATACTTTGTGTATTTTTTTTTTTACTCATAGAAGTTTATGTGATATAATATTCATTCTGGTACCAAAACATTCGCAAATAAATTCCCTACAAAACAAAAGTATCCCCATCCATTTCAGTTAAAAAATGGAATTTATAGAAATATTTTTTCGATGGACGAGAAAACTCGGCTGTTATGCGGAATCGTAAGAGAAAACGGCGACGAGTTATCTCTAATCTAAAGCGCGAAAGTGTTAACCAGAATAGGGGTTTGTTTTGGGGTACTTACCTTTCTGGGTACCTGAACCAGTTAATGGCAGACATAGAATGCTTCCAATCACATGGGGATATCTATAGGCCATTGTTCCTTATGCCTTTTTGAGGGGGGGGGGGGGGCCAGATTTTGGCTCGTGGTCCCCTATAGGCCTAAGAACTCCATTCGCTTGACTGATACCAAGGTCTAATACATTTATATCAGCCTGGTTAGCTCTGAGGAGCCCCTGAAGACACTCTTTATTGGATGTTTCTTTAGCTTCTATTACTTTCAGTGTGATTGTCAGTCATTCACCCACTATTGTGCACTTTTTCACTGCGGTGTTGCTTGTTTAACCCTCCCAAATTGCAAGGAATTATTAGAGCATGCAAGCACACGTACACACAGTCACAGTTTCACGAATACTCCGTGACAGTATGTGGCGGTATCCATGCCATCTGTGGAGCACTAACCACCACAATTCGTTTAGGTGGGGGTCAATGACAATGCCCACTAATGAGGGAGGTGACGATGTCAATACCATCTACTGAGTGCACCCGACCATATTTTCTGTTCCCTGGTGAAAGGCTGTCACCTAGTAACAGCCATTTTCTGTTCCCTGGTGATAAAATATGAATTTTATCCCTGTGTAGTTACTGTCATGCTAATGATGTTTTTAGTCTGCAAAAGTAATGAGAAGGGTATCTTGGGCACGAGGAGTCAGTTCACCCAGGGCAGTCCTGAACTCAAAACATGTTCCAGTGAGAACAAGTGGCCACGTCGCTATACCTTACCTTGCAATGATTTTGAGGCTTAGCGTTCCTGCGGCCTGGTCCTCAACCAGGCCTCCTGTATAAACAGTGATTTGTCTACAATACTCGCAATATATTAGTGATTGGAGTGACACCCGGGATATGCCAAGTTGAGTTACGAGACGGAAGTACGATCTGTCTGTTAAGACTTGTTGTAAGCCCGTGTTGAGTTCTGCCAGAGTGTTGCTGGAGACCCCTGTCAGCATGTTGCTGGAGATCTCTGGCAGCGTGTTACTGCAGATGGAAGTCCATACCATTTGGAGATTGGGACTGGTCAATCAGAAGAGATTGGTAATAACTTACCAATGACTCGGGGTGGGATCAATGAAAAAGAGAAGCACTAAAATCCCATAAACAGTGTTTGAAATAAAGGACCCGGTCATTGGCTAAGTGACAATATACATGAACATAATTCACATAAATGTATCAGAAAAGATTGAACATTAATTCGTACTAACCATGCTTGAGGATCTGAGAATGTCCTGAGAAACCATGTACCGAAGACTGGAGGATGCCGTGGGACCAATCTGTTTAAGAATATTTCTCTCTTAGAAGCCAATGGTGTGTCTAGCTTACACATATTTTGTTTTAACTCTTGGGCTGCCATATAAACACCAGAGTCTCTGTACAGTGTGTGAAGAATCTGCCGCAAACCATGTAGATTCTCTATCCACTCAATAAGACCACATTCCTCGTTTAATGGTACTACAGCCTGGAAAGAAACAGCCGATTATGTAAATTGGCAAATTATATTAGATGACCCTATTAATACGTGGAAAAATAAGGACATATAATTATCTTTGATTATTAAAATAATTTTCTTGGGAAGCCCCTTGGTGGTTCCCTGTAGCTATCTCGCTGAGACTGCTCCATACCACAAGGTCACATCAAGATGTGTACCTCATGGATATCTTGAGGTTATCTTGAGATGATTTCGGGGCTTTTTCTAGTGTCCCCGCGGCCCGGTCCTCGACCAGGCCTCCACCCCCAGGAAGCAGCCCGTGACAGCTGACTAACTCCCAGGTACCTATTTACTGCTAGGTAACAGGGGCATTTAGGGTGAAAGAAACTTTGCCCATTTGTTTCTGCCTGACCAGAGCCAGAACCTGGCCCCCCTCCAACTAAACAGGTGCAGAAAGCAAATGACATTCTGCCATTTAACTGGAAAAAGTATCCAAAAAGTAAGTAAAGTTTTCAAACAATTGCTGGGTTCACAGGAACACAGCCTGAAAACTGCCAAACAATCAAACAAAATAATAAATTTAAAACTAGCTCAAACCTGTTAATACTCATCATTGCCACCAGGTGGCAGTGATTTTGCCACCTGGTAGCAGGATTACAGAGATTCACGATTACAGTGTTGGAAAGATACTACTGTAGTGAAACATATATATTTCTTGGACTATGTATGACGATGAAACATTGTGTAAAACATGTCATCACAGATTATTAGAGCAAAGACAGTTGTGTTCCATCACCTGTTTTCAGGAAATATGTCTCCTGACAGATTCGTATTACTCATCTGGTGCCTGCATTTTGCAAATATTGAAAACCAGACTGAAGATGACAGACTTTGGAAGGCAAGGCACGTTCTGAAAGAACTGATTAGAAAGTTCAGAGATTTCTATGTACCAGCTCAGAAGCTGGTGATTGACGAATCCCTTGTGCTTTTCAAGGGACATCTTGCCTTTGAAGGGAGTATATTATGTAAATAATATACCAGCTCCGAACTCTCATTAGCTTAACCCTTAAACTGCGCAACACATCATATGATGTGCTGAGTAACTGCTGCGGAATTGCACACCACATTATATAATGTGTGGGAGTACCACACAAGATTTTAAAGTCCAGCAGTTACACGGGGTTTACATTAGCTTCCTCGGGGCTTTTGTTAACGGACGCCATTTTTTTTTAAATCATGGGCAACATTCCCGGGTGTGAAAACCTCAGTACTGAGTGAGCCACCAAGGCTGGCACACGCAGCATGTGCTAACAGCACCGCTGTTCAGCTTATGTCCACAGCATCACCTAAAAATTTAAAAAAACCAGTGTTGAATGTAATGAAACGCCATTTTCTGGGTGAGCCCCAGAGGCTCCCTGGAGCTTATCGGGCTAATGTATGTTATATTAGACCAGGACATTAGATAAGGAGTTCAGACCTACCAGGGACCAGCGCCAGAACCTGGCCCCTTCAGAGAGGTTTCAGGGAGCAATGGCCCTGGAAAACCCCTTTGTGGTTGGGGCTTTCCTTATCTGCCATCGACCGGGGTTAGGCACCCAGAAAGGTAGGCATAACAAAACAAACCCCACATGGTAAAAAAAAAAAAAAAATAATTAAACCAAAAACCGAACAGAGGTAGAAACTCCCTACAATCACAAGGAAACAAGCAAACATCACACTTTACTGCCATGCCGATCGTCTGCGCAGCCTTCCCCACCCTGAGAGGGGGAGGGGGGAGACCCGGACCTACCGCGCCGGCTGCCAAGCTTCAGTTCGGAAGCTAAGCTTCAAACAACTCAAAAAACCAGCGTTGAATGTAATGAAACGCCATTTTCTGGGTGAGACCTGGAGGCTCCCCGGAGCTTTACCGGCTGATATGCTAATGTCAGACTTTGGCATCAGTCATGTGTATGGAGTTCTAGGGCCTACCGGGGACCACGGCCAGAGCCTGGCCCCCTCAGAGAGGCAAGGGGAGCAATGGCCTATAGAAACCCCTGTGTGGTTGGAAGCATTCTATGTCTGCCATCGACCGGGTCAAGCATCCAGAAAGGTAAGCATTCCAAAACAAACCCCTATTCTGGTGAAAATTGCTACCTAAACCCAAACTAGTGGATAGAACTCTTCAACAGAAAACAAGGAAACTAGTATGACGTCATACGTCACCGCGCCGCTGTCTGCGCAGCTCCCCCCTCCCCGGGAGGGGGAAGGGGGAGCCCCAGACCTCCCACGCCGGCTATCCACCCATCAGTTCTGAGGCTGGATGTCAAAACACGCGAAAAACCGCCGACCGGAGGGAGGGAGGGTTGCCGGGGAGCCTCCGGGTCTCACCCAGAAAATAGCGTTTCATTACATTCAACGCTGGTTTTCTGGGGGGAGCCCCGTCAGCTCCCCGGAGTTAACTACCCACAGAGGAAGGTCAAAGGGACAGAACCGGGAGGTGGACACCACGCACCCCCCAAGGAGGCGAGACAACCGGCAGCAAACGCCAACCCAAGGCGCCACAGCCCCGAAAAGTCCCGGGAACAACACAAGAACAACGAGCAGCAAGGCCCCTGCACGAACACCAAAAATCCATGCCCGAAAGACTGCAAGGCCACGTCGCCCAGACGGCAGCGAGAGCAGCGAAACCACGAACGCCATAGGCATGAGGGAAGAACACAGGCATGAGGGAAGAACACAGGCAGCTTAGTCGCAAGAACACGGCTGACCACCCGGGACACTATCACCCGCGAACCGGGAAGAACAGAACCGGATCAACACAAAACGCGCTCCGGACCCAAACACCGTGGCACGCAAACAACAGCGGAGGGCCGCCACTGAACACAAAAAACGACACACCCCCGGCCCGACCAATGAAGCACCAACAAACCCTGGACCCCTCCAGAACGCAGCAGCCCCACCCCTCGCCAGAAAAGATGGAGACTGCTGCCACCGAACAACCAAAACGCGAAAACTGAAGGAGCAAGAAAACTCAGCGACTCAACCCCAAGAGGCAAAGGCCAAAAGGAAAGAGCCGACGAAAAAACCGAAGGGGCACTACCAACCGAGGAGAAGACAGAGCACGCTGACCAGAGACCAGGATGGTGCAAGCGGCGCACGAACAGGCCGGAGGTGAAACGACGCACAAGACAGCTGACTAACGGTGCAGAAGCAACACCAAGACCGAAAGCAAGCTGAAGCGGCTCTGCCCGCGCCGCACGAAAAGAGGCGACAGTATGTGGCAAGACGACGGCCTCCAACCCCCACCAGAAAACCAAGCCAACAAGAGTAACCACCTAAGAAGGGACAGGAAAAGGAAGGACCGCCAAAATACCACATACTGCCGCCAAGAGAAGCACGCAGGTGGGACACCTACCACGAAGCCACCCGACCACCAACCGGAGGCGAGACCGCAAGGCAGAACATAAGCAGCCCCGACAAGGCCCCTTCGAGCCCAGGAAAAGGCGGAGCCGCGGGAAGATCTTGGGCGCGACCACCGAAACCCAGGCGGCACAAGGAGATGGAACGTCTGCCGAACAGAAAAACTCCCCAAAGCATGCAAGCCCGCCAGGAGTCCAGAAACGACGGGTCCGACGCGAGACATCGCAAGACCCCCCAAAAAAAAACAACCGGCAGGGCAAGCTAGGAAACCAAAGAAGGCGGAAGGGTCGCCGCCAGAACAGTACCCGAACCAAGGGGTACGAACAACTGCAATAGACCGAGACAAGGAAGCACATCACAGGACACAGGCTGACAAACGCCTAAGAACAGACACAGAACACCCCTGCTGCAGAGGAGGCAGGAAGAAAGAGCAGAAGCACAAAAACCCCAGAACAACCAGGGGTGGACAATCAGGCAGGGACAGAAAAACCCCCACGCAATCCCCAGGCACAATACGGCAGCAAAGTGCCACTCCACAACCGGACACAGGAACAAGGACACGCCACCGTGAAACACAGTACCAATGCACACGTGCAGCAGCAGCAACAGGCACCACTGCAACATGCAACATGTAAATAGCAACTCCCCTCTGCAAAGGCAGAGAACGGAGCAGGCAGACCCCAGACAGGGCCAACGGAGACACGACAAAACCCCGCAGGCCCAGAAACGTGCACCAGGCGACCGACGGCGGAGAAACCCCGCTCGATACCTGCTGGATGAGGTACTGGGAGCTCTTTTACACCTCAAGCCCGGCCCAAGGCCAGGCTAGACCGGCCAGAGGGTGGCCCACCAGGCAGCTGCTAGGAGCAGTCCACCGGCCCACATACCCCCACAACCAGGACGGGCCGGAACTGCCATACGAAAACAGGCTAGTGCGCCCTGGAAGTCCACGGACGAACCAGCAAGAAGGCTTATGCTCGCAAGTAGGTCGTGTAACAAGCACAGACCTCTGATGGTAATACAGTGTTCCCCAAATGTGCCAATAGCACCACTGCACTCCACTGGTACTATCCCGCAAGTTCTACCAGATAGGCGGGACCCAAGAGCCAGAGCTCAAATCCTGCAAGCACAGCCAGGAGCCTTACCAGGTGAGTACAGAACCAACCCTACAACCCCCACACCTCACAACATTAAAAAGGAGGGTCCCCTGAATGACTCCAGCATGGGTTGGACATGCACATGAGGGGGACAGGAAGGGTTGAAAAAGGGACAGTCACTGGTGTGCGAACGGTCTCAGTCGTACAAAAATACCTAAATAAAGACAGGTATATAAACAACTCCGCATCCAGCGCCCGGCCAAAAGAACTCAGAACTCACCTGGCAAACGGTGGCATGAACTTGACACGACTCAACCGTGCCCAGAAGAACCAGGGAGCACCGCCAGGTGAAGACGCCAGAGCCGGACCCTGCCGCACCCCCAGGAGAGCAGGGAGAGGCGAAGGAGGCGGTCCACACCCATGACAGGGAAAACCGCGTTGTCCTCCCCACAACTGGAAACCAGGACACCCCCGGCGCGAAGGGGCACATACCGCAGCCAGGGAGAAGAACGAGAGGCGTAGCACTGTAGCAAA